TTTTCATATGTTTATTTGCTATTTCTACTTCTTTGTTTGAGAAATGTCTGTTCCTTTCAGATGCCCATTTTTGGATTGGGTCTTTAAATGTGGGAGGTCTGATTTTTAAAAATTCTTTCTATATTCTAGATAGTAGACCTCTGTGTGAGGAACAGCAGGTGAAAATTTTTTCCCACATTGTGGGTTGTCTCTTTACACTCTTGCTGGTTTCTCTTGCAGTGCAGAAGCTTTTCAATAAGAAGAGATCCCACTTGTTGGTTGATTGTGCTAGTTCATGGGCAACTGAGGTTTTGTTCATAAAATCTTTTCCTACACCAGTGTCTTCAAGAGTTCTATCTAACCTCTGTTGCAGCCAGTTCAGTGTTTCTGTTTTAATATTTAGATCTTTAATCCATTTCAATTTTAGTTGAGTGCATGGTGAGAGATATAGGTGTAGTTTTAGTCTTTGGCAAGGTGAAACCCAATTTTTCTAGCACCATTTATTAAAGAGACTTTCTTTCAGTGAGGGTGTTTGGTTCCTTTGTCGAAGATGAGTTGGCTGAGTGTGTCTGGCATTGTTTCTGCGTTTTCTGATCTGTTCCACTGGTCCTCAGGTCAATTTCTTTGCTAGTACCATGCTGGTTTTACCACAGTAGCTTTGTAGTATAGTTTCAAGTTGGGGATTGTGATTCTCCCTGCCATGTCTCTTTTGCCTAGAATTGCTTTTGCTATTCTGGGTCTCTTCTTGTTCCAAATGAATTTTTGGATTGTTTTCTCAAGTCCAGGAAGTATGCTGCTGGGTTTTCAATTGGGATTGGATTGAATCTATATAGCAGTTTTGGAAGTATGGCCATTTTCGCTATGTTGATTCTTCCTAACCAGGACCAAGGGATGTCTTTCCATTTTCAGATATCATCTTTAATCTCTCTATTCAGAATGCTATAGTTTTCAGATTAGAGGACTTCAATTTTTTTTGTTAGGTTGATTCCTAGGTATTTCAGTTTTTTGTATGCTATTTTTTTTTTTTTTTGGTACCAGGTATCGAACCCAGTACCTTGTGCTTTTGAAGCAAGCACGATGCCACTGAGCTAAATCCCCGGCCCTTTGTATGTTATTATGAAAGGAATTGTTTGCCCTATTTCTCTCTCAGTGAGTCTGTTGTTTGTGTAGAGGAAAGCTATTGATTTTTGTGTGTTGACCTTGTATCCAGCTACTTTACTGAATTTG